GGCGAGCCGCGGGGTGGTGCGGGCCCGCAGCAGGGGCTGTGCTGTGGGGAGGACGCGCGGGTGACCCGGCCCTGCCCTGCTTCCCCTAGGACCCCCTAGGAGCCGGGCAGGATGGTGAAGCTGGGGAACAATTTCAACGAGAAGAGCACAAAGCAGCCCCTCCTGGAGGATGGCTTCGACACCATCCCCCTCATCACGCCCCTGGATGTCAATCAGCTGCAGTTCCCGCCTCCCGATAAGGTACAGTCGGCTTCGGTTTCCACCCCTGAGGATCACACCCAGGTCTCGGGCGGACAACAAAAGCCGGGGGAAGAGGCCGCTTGGCGGTCTCGTGGAATCGGGGGCTTGGGAAGGAGCTGCTGTTCCCCTGCGGGAGGGGGGGTTCAGGCAATGACAATCAGGGAATATTCCAGCAGCGATGCTAACCAGTAGCATTTTCCTGGCAAATCTTTGACGACGGGGTTAAAATCCGCACCGGGTAACGTCTCAGGACGGTGGGAATGCGGGCGTCTTTGTTGCTCGCTCGGTGTCTGACGTGAGGTTCTGCCAGCTCGTCTCTGATACGCTGTCGCTGTTTTCCTTGTCTGCCCCCGGTTTCGGCATAAGGCCACCGTTCAAATTCACCCGGAGTGAAATGAACTCCCCCCGCAGCCTTCTGGCTGCAAGGCCCTCCTCCAAGGTGGATGCCTTGCTCAAGAACCCTGCAGGGTGTGCACAGGCAGAACAGCAACATGAAGCATTTCCATATCCCTTGTGTCCCTCGGGGATCATGCCGTGTTAGCCCCACAAAACTGGCACAGAAAGCGAAGTTGTTGTCAGGCTACTGATTTCTCTTTTAATAGATCCCAGAGTTCCCCAAACAGAGAACATAAAGATGAAAGTATGCTAGTCCTGAGGCTAGATGGGTTGAAGCAGATCTGTAGTATTATACCTTATCCCTTAGTTGGGAAAGAGGTGTGTATTTTGGTTACTTAGTCTGATGCAGAAAGGTACATTTAGTAATCTCAAAATACTCTTAATTTCACTTGCAAATAAAGAGTTTGATAAGTATTACCCAGTAATACAATAATGGAACATGTATTGGTATTCTCTCCCTTAAGAGGCCTTTATATTTTAAGTGGTTTTACCATTTGCTGAAAAATATAAACCCAACATTTAACTGGGAAATGGTCACTAATATTTGTTAGATGATAACGTTTCATGCTGATTATTTCTTTCTTTCTTTGTGGGCTCAGTTCAGCTCTTAGGTAACTGGCAGGTATAAGTTTTATATTTTGAAAAATCCATGTTTTGTTACCTTAGAAAGGCAATATCTATTTCTTTGTCTGAATACATCCACATGTGCTAGGCAGTAAGAGTACATTTATGTCATCCATTTACCAGGGTGTAACTCTCACTCAGCATGACTTCTGTCTAGTATCTGCTGACTACTTGGCAGGCATTGACACAATAAAGCATAGTTGCTGCTTCCAAGTCCTGGGGCCTCTTTTTGTCTGCACTAACTCCCATAACTGAAGGCAAAATTGGATCCTAAGGCTTTAAAGCAGTAATGGATGACTGAGTTTGTGCCTACCAACTGGTGACTGGATTTCAACAATTAGCAGGATCTGCTGTCCAGATGCTGAACTCGGTAAGTCTACATGGTACATTATTCAGCTGCCAAAAAGTGCCTTGGGCCAGGGATGCATGTAGTCTGTAGGCAGCAGCTTAACCAAAATGGAGCCCGTGTAGCGAAACAAATATGAGTTGCACTAAGTTGATTGCTGCAAGAAGGTATTCTTTGACTGATTGTCAATTATTACTGGGCAGTTCTCCCACTGCAGTCATAAGGAGTGGTTGGAACAAAATAAAGGCAAGTTATGGCCTAAAAAAAGGACTGGAACATTTGGTTAGTTTATTTGCTTCCCCACTGCCTAATCCTATGTGTTAGTTCCCTTTCCTTTTGGAAGACATTAACCACCAAAGTCAAAGTGCCTTTTATAGATCTTACTGTCTTGTCTTCTAGCATTTTGGCCGGGCATGTTGGCCGGGCATTTTGGCCGGGCATGCTACTTTGCTTGTGGGTCATTGCAGCAGCCTCAAATATTATTTATAACAAGGTAGGCAATATGCAGGATAGCAGGAGTAGCAAGGAAGGACTGACATACAGATCAAATTCTGAAGTACTAAGATATTCATGTATAATAAAGAGAAGTATGTACTTCACCTACCCAGGCTTATTATTCACTTACAAAATTCCAGTATATGGCAGTGAGGCATAAAGATAACTTCATGAATAGTAGTGATATAATACTAAAAAATTGATGACTGACAGTTTCTAAATTAAAAGGCTGCATTGATTTAAATATATTTTTGGTTATATTAAATAAAAGAAAGTATTACATAACCTGGCAGATAAAATTGTGTTCATTGTCAGTTGGATATGACTTGAATTGTCTAGGTTATGCAACATGAAGGAAGGAGGGTATGGAATAAAAAAAAAAAAACCCTAAACCCCCCCAAACTTAATTTATTCCAGGATGTTATTGGGCAGTTTTAATCTAACTAAAGACAGTTTTGCAACCTCTTTTCCTTGGGCACATCTAAGTAGTATTCTAAAGATATTTAGTACATTTAATCACATTGAGCCCAAATATAATCCCATGTTCCAGACTATTACAAAACAAGGTCTTAATTTTAATCCCTGGCTACACAATGTCAGAATTCCCATTGGTTTCATATAAGGCAGTATTTAGTTCTAGCAGAAAACCTCAACAGAATGCAAGGGTTTATTCTTTGGAAAATGACAGAAAATCAAACAGATCCTTATGACACTGTAAAAAGCTGAGACTAATTTTGAGTATGATATTATGAAAAGGATATTGAAAATAATGTAGACGATTGCTATTCAAGCTGCCCCATTTCTATGTGAAAATATTGGTATTCATTAGAAAACATGAGATTAAGAGAGAGACGATTGAGGCATGCAATAGTTTAGAGGTGTGGGGATGACATAGAATTGTCTGACCAGGGGCAATTGGCTCAATAACAGGATAAACTGAAAGTAAGGACAGGGCCTTAGGGATTTCAGGAGAGAGCTTGTTAATAAGGTTTGTGTGAAGCTGACTAAAAGCAGGTATTTTCAGAAAAATTAATCTAGTACCTGAATAATCACAGTTATTCAGGACAGCACTGCAGTTTGTAGGCAGTAATCTGGTAGGTAGAAGGGGCATTACACTTTTTTCAGCCCTAGACCTGTACTCTTGCCAGACGACATTGCTGTTGATATATTGTCATCTACTAGATTTTTTTAGCTGACCTCTTAATTAACCATCTGATCTTGTCACTCACTGGTTAGAAAGCTCATTAAGTGAATTCCCCTGAAGCTAACAGAGGTAACCATGTCTGTTCTTGAAAAACACCAAAGAAGTGGTAACGGGAGTGAGCATCTTCATGTATAAGTCTTAACTAATAGTATATTGAACTAACTAGTTGCATTTCTGGTGTGGCAACAAACATCAAACATTTAAAATAACCTTCCAAAAATGTTGCCTTCATCTTGCTCAAAAACGCATGTAGCAGAGCAAAAGGAAACACTGATAGGTAAAAATTGGTCTATATCTTCCATGTGGGAATTATATGTAATGGGAAAAAAATTACTAATTATTTAGTTAGCACCAATATTGTGCTAGATGCAAATAGAAGTAGAAAAAAGAAATAGAAATACTTGAAATTGTCTTTTCATTGCATTGAAAACTTAAATTTTTCCATAAGTAAAAAACGCCTCTATTGACATCTGGGTTAGCCCAGTATAGGCAAATAAACTGTAGCATGTGGTTTACAAAATAGTAACAGCTTTGTTATTGCTTTTGAAAAGGTTGTGGTCAAAACGAAAACAGAATATGAGCCTGATCGCAAGAAAGGAAAATTCCGTACTCCAAAAATAGCTGAATTCACGATCAGCATAACTGAAGGAGTCTCAGAAAGGTTTAAGGTAAGCATTTGCTACCTGTTCTGGTAATAACTATATTTACCAAAGCATATACAATACAGTCTTCTTTTCTTTGTGTCGTTCCTTGTTGTTGAGTGTGTATCTACCTTGTGCCTTGGTGGATCAGAGAAATATAAGAGAGGTCTTTTCCATCAACATACTAGTTCAAACTTATCCCACAGAAAGGTGATGTATGAAAACTGTTATCATCCAGCAGCAATTGAGTGAGAGTCTTGGTGAAAATGGGTGCACATTCTGTTATTCCCTTTGCAGTTAATCTGAGATGGAGACCAACATTGTAATTGCAAAGACTGAACTACTCTTCCCTTTAGAAGGGCGGGTGCCTTGATCCACATTAGCAAGATGGAGTGGTAAACCTTGCTCTGTAATGGACACTCCTATACCTCCTTTGCTATAAACAGAAAACTTGGGTTTCCAGTCTTTCACCTTACACAAGCTGTACATTTACTCAGCATTTTAAAATATACAGCAGGTGATGGCAGTATTTTGGGCACAGAAGAAATGCATCTGGAAGATTAAAATTTGGTTTGTAGGAAAGAAGGAGCAGAAATAAAGGAGCACATTATCTTTGCAAACCTCATGTTTAACTCATTAAAATAATGAGTTACGTGGGCACACCAAATGAACATACATATCTCTTAAAGTCACCCCTCTATATAAATTGGCTTCATATTTTTCAGCTTCAGGTTTAGGAAAAAAGGCTTTTTCCCTGGATACAAGTGATAATTTTATACAAAGATCTGAGATTGCTACTGCCTTTAAGTCCCACAGGAGAATCAGATAATGAAGGAAAAGATCCAAAGGGTTAAATGCATTAAAAACAATAAAATAAAAAGGACACTGAAAAAAATTCTGATGTGGTATTTCTGTTGCATGCACAAGAATACTGAAAGTACAGAAATCCAGACTGTAGGGCAGGTGTTGGCAACGTTTTTTGGTTAGAGTGCCAAGAACACCCGTAACCTGGACTTGTAAGATGTTGGCGTGCTAGGGGTGGACAGCAGGGGAGGTGCGAGAGGCCCAATCCTTGTTGTGGTAGCACTGCTGCAGCCCCTTCCCTGCAGTGCGCTCCAAGGTGCACCTGCCAAACATAATGCCTTCGCATGCCACGCTCTGTCACCTGTGCCAGGGGTTGCCTACCTTTGCTGTAGGGCACCAGATTATGGGTCAACCCTGAAATTAAGTCAAATGTGATTTTTATGGTTCTTTTGGAAGGAAGAAAAGATAGATTTATTATCAGAACAGTATTAAAGACTTGACATGAAGACTAAAACACAACAACCAGCATGAACAGTAGTAGTGAAGGTGTTTGGGGCCCAAGCCTATTCTTATAACTATAGAGACAGCTCCACTGAAATTTAAGGCCAATTATACACTCATATTTAACAGTGAAATTAGGCAAGGGGCAGAAAGGAATGTAATTCAGCATTGCAACATCTAACTTTTAAATAGCTAGTAGTACACTAATTCCCAGGCAGATATTTAGGTATTTACATGGTGTGGGATA